CACTGAGCCACGCCAGCCAGGGCCACTGATCTTACTCAGAATTCCCGTTTTCCTGGTTCTCATCTGTGTGTGCGCTTGGTGCAGCAGAGTCTACCCTGTGCGGGTCTGCGCAGCCGCGGGTGCAGCCGTGATACGGTTCTACCACTAGGACCCTCGGTAGCTCTTTACACCCCACACCCACCTCCCTTCTCCCTCCCCTTGCCTGGACCTAACCCTCAGCGATCACTAATCTAGTATCCATTCTTACGATTGTGAGATTCCAAGGGCGTTAAATAAACACAGTATATAGTATATAATTTAAAACGCTTTTCGACTTCAGCACAGTTCTCTGGACATGTCAGTCAAGTGGTTGCACACATATCAGGTCTGTCCCTTTTTATTGCTGAGTATTCCATCCTGTGCCTTTTTACTGCGTCCTGCTCAATTTTTTTTCTATCCAAGGGCCACTCATATTTTAATATCAGATTCAGATCCCACCTTCCCATCTTATTGCAATTATTTGTTGTATGCTCAGCTCACACCTGTTGTTTGCTGGCGTCTCCTTCTCCCCACACCAGACCCTCCCCACTCTCACAGCGAGTGTGGCGGCCATGCTGGTGCAGGGGGACCACATTCTGGCCACATTTGAACGAGGAGTGAGCACTGGTTCACTGTAGCACAGCCAGGGAGTCCCTCAGTGAATCTAGAATTGGGCTAAGAGGTTCCCATCCTTTCAAGTCCTCTGTGTGTGTGTGTGTGTGTGTGTGTGTGTGTGTGTGTATGTTTAATTGAGTGACTTAAAAATCTACAGCTACAAGAAGCAACCATTTTGCATCACGTGGTCCAGGAGGCAAAGTGTCAGTCCAGAGTGAAAGAGGAGTGTTGAGTCAGAGGCTGAGAAGCAGGGTGAGGGGTGACGAGGGATGATGTCGGTGACAGCTCTAGCCCCCCCATGCTGGGACTCCGAGGCACTCTGGTATCCTTGTGACCGTCGTTCTCCCCCTAGCCTCACTCCTGTCCCCTGGGAGCTCGCAAGAGCTTGTTGGATGGGATTCTACTAGACCGTCGTGTCTTTCAGGACGGAACTGGTTTCTTTTTATGTGTGTGCTGGTACTTTTGCTTAGAAGCCCTGTGCACTCTGGGCCAGCTTCTCTGCTTTCACTTCTCCCTCTGCCTTCTCGGAGCAGACCCTCAGAACACCCTTCCTGTTTTTGTCTGCCATTTCTGTCCCTCAATTTCTTCCAAAGCACACTCTTATAAGACATCAGTAACTTGGACTTTGATTACAACTTAACCAACCCTCAGGTCCCACAACTCTGTGTCCTCGGCTTGTGTCCTTATTTTTGTGTCCTTAAATTGCTTTTATGGGTGGCTGCCCCTTTTCCCCATGACTAGGAGACCCCAGAAAACTGAGACTCTCTCCCCCAACAGTCTGAGAGTTCCCCCGAGGGCAGATCCCTCAGAGATCCCTCTTTAAGATTAGTCTTGTAGATCCCTCAGAGAAAGAGCCTGTCTTCTCTCTTTGTAATCTCAATAAATGTTGACTGATGGAGCAAACAATGAACTTAGTCCCCTGGAGTGTCATATTATTTCATTCCACAGTGAGAAAGTGATAATACTAGGCAGAGCAGGCTGGACCCCTTAATACGATTGTCTGGGAGTTGTGGGTTAGTGAGTCTTTGTCCCAACTTTATTTGGTACATTCATCTCCACGGGATACACCCAGAGATCACTTGCGCTGCTTGGCTACTAACTGCACTGACCCTTTTAATCACAGTGAAGCTGCTGTCTCCAGCCCAAGATGGGAGAACCCACATTGTAGTAGCCATGGGCTGTCCTGAGATAAGTGTATTCTAACCAAGTTCAACAGTGCTGAACTTGCTCTGTACGGTATCTGGATTTAAGACATCCTACCATGTGCCAATGTATGACCATAGCAAGGTGTTTTTAAAAACCTATTCAATAACATAACAACTTGAGATATAATTCACACCGTATAAAGTTTTCCCATTTTAATTCTAAATTCAGTGGTTTTTAGCACAGAGTTGTGCCAACACCCCCATGATACATTTTAGAGCATTTTCTTTACCTCCCAAAGAAACTTCACGCAGTCTCTCTCCATTTTCCCCGACTCCCAGCCTTAGGGAGACACTGATCTATTTTCTTTCTATAGAATATTTGCCTATTCTGGGCACTTCATGTAAATGGAATCAGACAATTGTGTGTGTGTGTGTGACTTCTTTCTCTTAGCATGCTTTCAAGGTTCATCCATTCCTTTTTTAAAAAAAAGGATTTTATTTTCAGAGAGAAGGGGAGAGAGAAAGAGAGGGAGAGTATCATCGATGTGTGAGAGAAACATCAGTTGGCTGCCTCTCGCCCACCCCCAACCAGGGACCTGCCTGACAGCCAAGCGTGTGCCCTGATGGGAAATCGAACCGGTGACCTTTCAGTTCGCAGGCCAGCACTCAATCCACTGAGCCACACCAGCCAGGGCCATATCATTCCTTAGTATTAATTCCTTTTTATTGCCAGATAATGTCCCACTGTATGGCTATACCATTTTTATTTACCCATTCATCAATTGATAGACATTTAGGCTGTTTCCACTTTGGCGAGTTACTTCTCTGTTCCAACTCATTCATCTATAGAAATGGGAAATACATTCTGAACTATGAAGCACTACATGCATGTAAAGACCTCATTTTCATACTTACAGAATGAAGGCAAGCACTGGGGCGGGCGTGACCTCCTTGAGCGTGTGGCCTATTGTCGCTGAACTTGGGGGAATTAGGCATCTCTTTGGGTTTGAGCTCCGTGTTAGCTCCATTTTGCTCTCTTCCTAGGTAATGGACTGTATCACTCAGCCCCAGCCTATCATCTCATTAATATTTGTTGCTAGGAGACCAGGCTAGAGCAGGCTTAGCTCAGTGTAATCCAATGCCACTGTAGAAAGCCACTCGAATCATAGGAGAATAGTTTTTAAACAGTAGGCAGTTTCATTTCATCCCAATTTTCAGCAAGAACAGGGAAAGGGGCTGAAGCTACAGGTGTCCTTAGGGGCCTGGGTTTACCGACTCTCTCACCAACTCTCCCATTTCTGATTTTAGGGTAGTTTTCCTTTGCTGCTCCCTCTCACCTGGGCCAGGGTGACTTCTTCCCACTGCCCATCCAGTAAGTGTGTTAAGGTAATATAAAAATATTTCAGTACTAGACCAAGAGAAAATAAATTAGGAGGGAAACCTTGCTGTCATAGGAGACACTGCCTTCTATGTAAGTATAAAGATTCTAAAAATCTAATTTAGATATAAATCCTATTTTGCTCCCATAACTTCCTGCCTTTTTTTTTTTTTTTTTTTTTGCAGGTATTTCGCAGCGATGACACACGGGGTACCAAAGGTGTACAGGGGAGAGGCCGGGGTGAGGAGCGGATTGTGTAAGAATGATTGTTTCCTTTACCGCTAGTAGCTGCCTAGAGCATAATTACCCCTTCAAAGCCTTGGTAAGAGCAGCTGGGGATAATGAACAGTGGTTAAAGATGCTTTGTTTTACATCCAGCAAAGAGGATCATTAACACCTCAACTGTTCTTTTAACCCAGCTTGTGGAAGGGCTCCCGCTGCTGTTGACTGTCACACTAACCCTTCGGGTGGTGGCAAGGACGGGGTGGGGGGGGCGGAGGGGCGGTGATTCACCAGGAAACAGTATTCACCAATTTGGACTAAGTGCACTACTGCTCCTCTCCACTCCCGAGCTTCGTTAAGAGGTGACTAGTACAGAATAAATGAAACTGCAGTTCTTCGCTGGAACTATCCGGGGAGCAGCAGAAATTTCGCAGGGAGGAGGGGGATCTGCCAGAAAAGCTGCGTTATCATCTCCCATTACATTTCTATTTAGAGTTCGTCTTAAGGTCACAGCCAATTCTTTAGGGGCAAAAGGACCCGTAGGTCCAAGAGACATCTTGTTGGAACGATGATGCAAAAGAAGTGGGAGCATAGTTCCGCCTTCATTTTATCGAAGGCGAAATACAGGCAAAGAGCTGTGACTAGGACAGTGTAGGGTGCCTAAGATGTCACTCCAGTCACATCAGGGACACCCCCAGATGGAAGGCGGCTACGGTCAGCTCAACCTCATCCACAACACCATGTTTCACATCATTCAAAACGGTTTGTAAAAGTTTCTATCTCGACTTGCTGCCTGGGAGCCGTTTCTGTTTGTTCAGTCCCTGGGGGGAGAGAAAATGGAACTATTTTCTTACAGTTCAGCTTGGTTGGAGGGAACTGAACTTTGGTCACAAAAGTACCAAATTCTACACCACCTTCTTTCTAAAAATGCATGAAAGATAACAGCAAGAGGTCAGGGTTCTAGATGGTCAAACTGATGCTTCATCAGCTCCTCTCCACCTCAAGACAACCGCCAGGAAGCTCTTCCACTGACAAGACTCGTGAAGGGAGGTCACGGGTGGGGTCCATAATTCCCACAATGCTTTCAATTGCGCTTTTCCCATAAACTTAAAAATAAAAGACCATGAACTCAAGGGTTATTTTTTTTAAATATTTTATTTATTTATTTTTAGAGAGAGGGGGAGGAAAGGAGGAAGAGAGGGAGAGGAACATCAATCAGTGGTTGCCTCTCACATGGCCCCCACTGGGGACCTGGCCTGCAACCCAGGCATGTGCCCTGACTGGGAATTGAACCAGTGACCTTTTGGTTCACAGCCCACGCTCAATCCACTGAGCTACACCAGCCAGGGCTCATGGGTTATTTTAAGTTACCAAAGTCCCCGAAAAAGAGGACTAATTTATTTTTAGTATTAAAGAGATTAACCTTAGTCTCATTATTCCGACTCATCCATATTAAAATTCAGAAAGTTGCAAACCCCATACAGGTTCTAACAACTCCAACTAACTGTTAAGAAAAGACAATCAAAAGTGTGGACGTAGGAAAGATCAAAGAGTAGAAAATGCCAATCAGAGGTATCCCCAGACAAAGCAGACTTTCTGTGATTGAAATAATATTTCATGTCTATGGTTCAAGAAAAAGAGGCTTTTTTATTAGCAGCTGAGAAATCAAGATGAGAAACCGTTGGTATCCAAATTGGATGCCTGATTCTCTGCCGTGCCGGGTTTTCGTTTTTGCCAGTCTAATGCCATTGGGGGAGAAAGAGGCCTGAGGGAGAGGAGGAAGAAATTTTCAACTTCTGGTCAACCTCCAGCCCCAAGGGCAGGACTGAGGACTGAGTACAAATATACTCAGGGCCTCACCTTGAGTGGCTGTGGGACAACTTGGAAAACTAACCACATAGGATCAGAGTCAGGCCTGCTGGGAACAGCCAGGTGGCGCGCATCCCAGGGCCCGTGCACTGGAGACCATCGGAGGAATGGGCATCGTAGGTGACAAGCTGATACAACCAGGAGCATGTGATTCGAAAGGTGGTAACCAGCGTGGATGGAAGTACCAGCCCTTAACACTACCCGTTAGATTATTCAAATGATTCTACCTTTTGGGCAGCAGGACTAAATAAATCCCTAATATTTTCAGGTTAGGCAGGATCTTCTGTCATAAGTCATAGTAGAAGCTACAGATTTTACTCTATAAAATCTATGTACAGCGTGGATCCAAGAGGCTGGGGCACTTATAGACTGTGGCAGAACATATGGTCTTCAAAGATTTGCGTTTCTGTTGCTGAGAAGCTCTTGTCACAAATTGGACAATAAAGGGTCTGAACAAGCTGCTGCTCCAAGATGTGGTCACAAATGTCACCAGTAAAGTCTGGTTTGCAGGTGGGGCATTTCTTACTGGAGAGCTGGGAGGAAGAACAAAAGAGGTCAGGAAAGATGCAGGCTGCGTGGGGCGGAGCCCGTCTCTATCTGATTTTCCACTACGTCCTCAGCATCCAGCATGATGCTTACACTTGGCAGGTCCTCCAGGCACAGAGGACGAACAAACAAATTCATCTTTGGGGAGACTCACTAGGGCTACCTCTAACCTCAGGACTGAAAGAACCTAATGCTGCTGAAGCAGTCAAACAGCTTTCAGCCTGGAAGGGGCACTGGCTGTCCCTCGTTCGGTCAGCTGCCCGGTTCACATCTCCTCTTGATTCTGCCGCTAAACTCAGCTCACGAGGGAGATGGTGAGCAGAGCGCTGCTGGAGGAACGGTTCCCTGTGCCCAGCTCAGCCAGGGCACTCGGCACCAGGCCCTGAACACCCTGGGCCCGCCGACTGCTGGAGTCATCACCATGAGCCCTGCGGGTCTCCTGGGAACTGGAGCAGCAAGGGCAAATTTCTCAAGGGTTTGCAGCAGTCACTCAAAATACTTACCAGGCTAGAGGCAGAACTTTCCTGGATGCCTGAAGGTAATAAAAAAAGAGATTTCATTCAATGAAAAAAGAGCATTCTTAGATCTCCACGTGTGTTCTAACAGTTGTTTTCTGTACCCTCGTTGTTCCCTTTCACCCACTGCTTTTGGCCCTTTATCTTTCTTTTTAAATTAAACATTTTTTTTTTTTACTTATTTAGAGGGGAAGGGAAGGAAAGAGGGAGAGAAATATAAATGTATGGTTGCCTCTTGTTCATCCCCTGCTAGGAACTGGCCTACAACCCAGGCATGTATGTGCCCTGACTGGGAATCGAACCTCAATCCTCTGGTTCCCAGGCCAATGCTCAATTCACTGAGCTACACCAACCAGGGCAGACCCTTTATCTCTTTGATAAACCATCTACTTTTGAAAGAGGGGATCTAGGTCAGGGACAAGGGAAAAAAAGGAAAAAATACAGCGGTGGGCTTTTTAGTGCATATCACATAAAGGGGTATACGTAATATACACTAGCCTTATATATTACATAATAAACCTATTTAGTGGGTGGAAAAGGAGATTTTAATAAAAACAGTAATACTCTAACCCAGAAACAGTCTGAGAATATATTTTAAGACTGCATCCACATGGCTGTTTTTTTTAAATGAAGTGTTTACAAATATTTTTAAAACACAAAATAAACTTGGACCCCTGCCTGTCGCGAAGACCTGATGGCGGCCCCTGAGAAAGCACGACAGGCTTAACCTGTCTGAAAAAAGCAGATGAGGTCTCACATCACTTTCGAAGACAAGAGAGTAAAGTTCCCTGTTAGGCAAGGACACGTGACCCCCGCTCCTCGAGTGACAAGAACCCCAACCCACCCGAGTCTGTGCAGCACACTCCTGCCACCCTCGGCCAGGCCGTCGGTGGCTGCTGTGACTGCCCATTCCTGGGTGGCATTTACCCGCCTCTCGGGCTTCCGTTCCCAAACCTTAATTAGCTTCCTCAGCTTTTTCTGTGTGTATCTTCTACACAGAGACATTTCTCTGATTTATGTATCTGGAACATAGCCACGGGACTCAATTTGTGTCTGCCGCCTCGAGGCGAGCGATCTGATTTGCGTCTTCTGGATTTAGATTTATTTCTCAATTAACACTTCTCGCCCGGCAATCTTTCTACTGGGTTCTCAGCTTCTGCCCAGCAAGTCTTAACAATGAGATTGGTCTTAATTAGCATCTGAGACACAAACAAAATTTAGTGGGGGACAGGGATGCAGGCAGGGGTCTTTCAGCTCCAACGGCAAAGCTGTCTCACCAGCGTAGGGGTTCCCGTAGACCAGCCCCGGGTTCTGTCCGGCACTTCCTGGATCCGAAGCAGGCCCTTGGCATGGCAGAGAGTCAAAATCCAGACCCATGTAGCTCATCAGTCTGCTGTTCTCACTCTTCAAATGCTAAGGACAGAAGATTCATAGCGACATGTTGAAGGACGGCCGAGAGCGGCCCCAATGAACTGGCCAAGGGCGCCCATTACAGGTGGTTCTGAATTCCCAGCGTGGTGCTGGGAGTCCAGGGGATGATGAGGCAGGATTCTCCAAAAGGGGAAGTAGCAGCCTCCGTACTATGAAGAGCTGAGTTCTTACCATACGGATTTAAGTGCCTACCACATTTTGTTTGGATTAATGTAAAAAAGAACTTAAAATCTCTGAATACATACCAACTGCAGGAGGTACAAAAAACTGGGTGGATATACGAGGCTGGCAGAAGCTATGCTAAGAATGAAATTATTGTATGCTATTGGGAGCAAAATGCTTCTTTTTAAAAGTCTCCTTGGTAGAACAGTTTTCTTACACGATGTAAATATTCATCTGATATAATTTCCCTTCTTTACATCTTATCCCTCCAATGGATACACAGACAGAAAGAGTGAAATGGAGGAAGGCAGGCAGGGAGGGAGAGGATGAGAGAAAGAATGAGGGAGAACAAGCTACACGGGGGCAGACAGCACCGAAAGTTCTTTAAGAAAATAAAATTAGTAAACTGCCCCTGAACGTCCTTTTTTAAAAAGACCTTATTTATTTATTTTTTTAGAGAGAGGAGAAGGGAGGGAGGAAGGGAGGGAGAGAAACATCAATGTGTGGTTGCCTTTCATGTGTCCCCTAGTGGGGACCTGGCCTGCAACCCAGGCATGTGCCCTGAGCAGGAATTGAACTGAGGACCTTTCGGTTCGCAGTACGGGGCTCAATGCACTGAGCCGCACCAGGCAGGGCTTACATCTTAAGAAGGCTTTACTATAGGTCTTAACAAAGCTTCCAAATATCAGATCTTTTCCTTCTTGTGGTAAATTGTGTGCACACTCCCTACCCCGACCTGACCCCATCAGACTATCTCAGGAAAATGAGGATTTCAAGCCCAGGTATACTTATCTAACGCAAGAGGTTGAGAATGACAGGGCCAGAAGCAGACCCCAAATGCCTATTGAAACACAATGGCATGAACAGTAAAATCAAAAGCAGAAATAATCGCTCGGAGGCACGGCCCAGGACAGGTACAGAGAGGGCAGAGGTGGGGAGCTGGCGGAGGGGTAGAGCCGGGAGCAGCCAGAACGCACGGGCTCCCTCTCTTCAGTGCTGGGTGAGGGCATGCGGGTGACTTCAAGTGCTGTGTTTGCTGCCCTCGTCCTTGATCAATGGGCCAGCCCTAACTTGTGTTGAACCCAGCAGAAAATAACTGTCGGTTGGATGAATGAACACACTGACAAGTGCACGGATGAATGCACCGCACCATCGGAGCCGACCACCGGCCGGCACCGGTCCAGCCCACCACGTCTGCTCCTGGTTTGGCAGCAGAGAGAAAAGGAGTTTGCACGGAAGGAAAGGGGTTCCTCAGCTGGCATGAACGTGACGTCAGGTATGTATTTCCCTCCAAAGACAGCATTGACAGTAACGGTGAAGATAAAACTGGAAATGGGGAGTGAGATCTTCACCAGAGCAGTTCCTTTCAGGTTGAGTATCGCTGCGCCCAGTAAGTTTATTGTGGTGATTTAGGAAACCAGACTGAATTTACTTTCTTCAGGAGCAACTGCCTCCGCCACTGTCCCGGAAGGGGTGCTTTTATTTTTTAAAAGAATGTATTTATTTTTAGAGACAGGGGAAGGGAAGAAGAGAGGGGGAGAAACATTGATGTCAGAGAGAAACATCTACCAGTTGCCTCTCATACATGCCCCGACCGGGGACTGAACCTGCAGCCCAGCCATGTGCCCCGACTGGGCACTGAACCCGCGACCTTTCGCTTTGCAGGATGTCGCTCAACCAGCTGAGCCCCACCAGTCAGGGTGGGACTCTTTCATGTAACTTTTTAACTTATCAGCACACCTCTGGGTCACTCCACTCTTTCCCCTTAAAATCTTGGGGTTTTCTACTCTCATTTACATACTTACATCATTTTCTCTTTCCATTCTCTCTTTCTCTTTCTGCAGAACATTATATATAATCTTGTTTTCACTCAGTCTTCTTGACAGGTCGAAGTTCTGGTCCTGTCAATAATTTAAAAAGGTAAGATTAGGATCACATATGGAAATCTGGGTCCAAGGTGGGATGAAGCAAGGAGATGGCAGGAGCTATAGCTTTCTGAAGTGTCGGGGCTGAGGTGGGGAAGGAGGGGACTGGGGTGGGGAGGGGGGCACTAGGCGGGGACGCTGACTAACAGGAAAGAGGCTTGACGAAGTGCCTGAGGCCTGGGCTGATGCTGGTTTCCTCTGGTTTAGCTGGGAGGGTACGTGTGTAAGTGACCAAAGAGAGAAGTAAGCTCGGGGAAAACCTCAAGACTGAGTTACCATCGTTAGGGATAAATGGAGCCTTGCTTAACCCAACCATGGAAACAGTTCGTCGTGAGCAAACCTCTCAGTCAATGAGCCTGAAGCACTTAGGGTTAGGGTGGCCTGACTCCCTCTCGGGTGTGAGGACAGAAGTCACAGAGAGGAAGAAAAGAACCCTGGAAGGAATTTATCCGAGGCTACCAGGAACCCAGACTGGGACCTTGAACGTCCCCGTGTGATGGGTCGACCTGGCTGGTTTCATGAACCCAGAGCTCTCAGGCATGCCTCAGAGCTTCCCATCTCTTTCCTACACGTGTCCACATTCGGGTACCTCACAAAAACACGTAAGCTTAATCCCGTCAGCTGTGCCCCCGCCACCAAAGATTTTTTATTTGAACTCGGAGCCCAAACTGCTGTGCACTTCTAGCTGGCCCTGGGGCAGTCATGCGAGAGGGGCCGTCCCAGGATGGGGCTGGGCTGACTGCAGGCTCCCGTGGGTTCTTCTGGTCCTGCCTCGCTTCCTCAAAAGGCAGAAATGAAAAAGGGCTCTCTGAATGTGTGCGGAAACCTGCTCACCGGTTACGAGAACCTTCCCTGAGTCACGGCTGAGCTGGGGTCTGTATTTCTGGGGATTCTCGGGCCGGTTTCTGGCCACACACTCCATCCCTCCTCTTTTTAGCAGGAAGATAAATGTCTCTCCTTTACAAGGGTGTGCAATCCTCTGGGCCACAAACCTTCACACCCCTTGCTTCCTGGGCCCCTTACCTCCGTCACCTACCAGGGCGGCAGCCCTGAATCGCCTGATCTGTTTGTGGAGTTGCTGACACCCTTTGTACCTCTCTAAGAAACAGCTTTCCCGGCCTCTACCTTTGCCTTTGGGCGGCCCACCTCTCCCCCGCCCCCAACCCAAGATGAATGTTCCGGGGGCCCACCTCTTGTACTAACTGCTAATCCACTGCTGTTTTTTTTGGTTCCCAGGCTCCTGAAGTATGAGATACATAGTCCTCATAGGGGCCTTTTGGGTGCATGAGGAATAAAGAACTGCCATCCGCTGGGGAGCCCCTGGGTCTTGCAAAAATGCTCCATGAAAATACTTCCAAGGAAACCCATACCTGCCACAAGACAGTGCAAGCCTTCCAATGGCTCTAGATTGTTTAAAACAGTAATTTCTTTGCTACAGTAGAGGTCACAAACTCAAATGTGTCTATCGGCAGGGGCCGGGCAAGGAATGTAACTAAATGAAGGAGTGGAACGCAGTGAAACAGCGAAGCCGCAGCCAAATGGAGGGCACATGACTCATTAAGGGGCGCGGCAGCTGCTTGGCTCTAGGCCTGGGCTCGCGTCTTCGATTTTTCAACAGAGCCTGGGATACAATTTTTTATGGGAAACATTCCCATTTTTAAGTATAGGTAATTGATTCAAGTTTTTAAAAAGCACCATCGAGGCCAAATAAAACATTTCTGTGGACGGAACTTAACCTGTGAACTGGTGATCTTCGAACTTTCCCATATGATACCACTTTCTACTCATGTTATACCAGGCCAAAATGCGCAGTATCTTCCACACGGCAGGTGCTCCGTGATTCATGGGACAGCGACTGAATGAATGAGCGATGCACACGTGACACATTTCTTACACGCTTACATCCGCTCAGAAGACGGGCTCCCAGGCACCTGCCGTCCCCAGGACTCCTCTTTTCCAGCAATATATTTCAGAAAATTATTAGGCAATTAGGCTATCATTCCCATTTTACTGTAGCTCAGAATAATTTATAATGATGATAACTGCTAATATTATATTAATTACAACAAATTTTGTTTTGACAGCTGAAATATTTTCCAGTCGTAGAGCGAGGCCGTCTGGGGGTCACTTGTGCGGCCGCACGGCAACTCTTTCTGGAGGGGACACCGCCCAAGGCTGCATTTACTACGGCCTGTCACGAGGTTTAACTTCCAATATTCCTTTATCACTCATCACACATCAGAAATACCTGCCTTTCCTGAACATTTTGAACATAGCGAATTCTCTGCCCTTCTGGGTAGAATGCAAACATGTCCCGAGGAAAGGGCTATTCCCGTCTGTCTTAGTTAACCTGTCCATCACCTGAGTATGGACCCCACCCCTTCCTTTCTGTCGGCTCCTCCCATAAAGCCCCACAAAGACAGACATGCCGTTAGCTCCTGCTGTTTCTTCGCTGTAGTAGCTTCTTTCTGCTTCAGCTCAGTCACGGTCTGCTCAAGCTTCTTCAGATGCTCCCTCTGCACAAAGACAGGACCACCGTTAGAAACACACACACAGACATGCAGGCAGGCAAGCACCGGGCAAGGGCCCGCCCAGCTACCGAGCAAGTAGGATGCAGACAGAGAAGCCGGTCTTCTCTTACTAGTTTCCTAGAATGGCCACGAGATGCATCATTTCAGATGGCTTCTCCGAGACCTTTCCAGAGCCAGTGACACCCAGGTACACAAGAGACCAAAGAAGGAACAATGTATATATTTTCTCCTAAATGCCGGAAAATGTTATTTTCTGTCATGACTCTACCTGCTCCGTCAAACTGAGAGAAAGCTGGCTGTTTTCCCTTTGCAGATGCTTCAGCTGCTTTGTGTTATCTTTCTCTCCCTGGACAAGCTTCTCCATTTCTTTCTCTTGAGTGGACAGCTGCTCCTACAGCAAAAATAGTGAATAAAACTGAGGTGCAAAAGAGGAAAAATTAAGCAGGAAAAATTAAGCAGGAACAACGCTTTTTAGTGTGCAGTGACATGAAGGAACGTGTGTTCCGTGACAACCCCTGACGGCTAAATAACCCTTGGGACTTCACTCTTCAGCTGTACCCTGCACCCTGAGAATCGAACATGCAACTGAATAAAATTCAACATCTTGCTCCTTAAAGCCCTTCTCTAAGGCACAGCTTCCTAAAAACAGGGGAGTTCTGCTATTTGCTTTACATTCTAGATTTTGCTTTAAAGGACTTTGTAGTTTAAAGAAAAATGTTTGACAACCACTGGTATAGATGACAGTCATCCATCTTAGGAGCTCATGATAAATATAAACTAAAAAATTATTCAGTTCCTGTGGACTGGGACTATTAAAAACAAGTGCGGGAGGGTCAAGAATAGAAAACACATACTCTGAAACTTTAGTCTGATGCTTTGAAAGGTATACTGTTAGGCATTCACTACAATGAAATGGATCTTCCTGGGCCGCCAGACAGGAGTGGCGGCAAGACTCAGGGAGTGCACCCGGAAAGGTCTGCCATTACCTACCTGAAGCTGATCCGCTCTGACTCGCATCTTCTCATTTTCGGAGGACATCTCCTGGTTTTGTTCTTTCAGTCTGCGGATGCAGAGACGACTATGTGAAGTACATGCCGATGCCAGCTGGCTGCCCCAGGCCTGACGTGACTTAAGGCCCTAAGCTTGCAGACTTATTTGAATATTCACTCGTTTCTTCTTCAATCCTGTTTTGGCCTCCTGACCTTGGAGCGCAGGTATTCAATACCTGGTGTTAATACTTGAATTTGGGTCATTTCTCCTGACCATTCTGACACTAATTCTCAAGCCTAGAATCAAAGAGCTCATGGCCCAAAGGGGAGAACCACACCGATCAACGTCGTAACAGGACGACTGTAGTCTAACAAAGTCTGGAAATCTAACTGGACCCTCCCTGTGGGTGCCGCTACTCCGGTGGCTCCTCCCAGCCCAGGGTCGTACTCACCGAAGCACCTCTGTCTCCCAACTGTCCTGCTGCTCCTTTGCTTTCCGTTCCAGCTCCTCGTTGATGCTCTTTAAGGTTTCTAGTTCCTCCTGTAGATGGAAACGTCAAAGGGACAGATCATTTCTAAGACAGTTTTAGTGTCTCAAGGAGCCAACACACAGCGATATTTATTGAGCATGTATTACATGTTACATGTCAGGCATAGCATGACACAACAGTGAATAAACTATCCATCTAAAGGGGTTTCCATATTCAAATATTCTTAATATGTTCTGTCCATACAAAAAATGTATCTACCTAAGTCCTTCTTCCACTGGAGCACCAATTGCCCACTAATTTGTTAAGTGAGCATTTGATGAGCACCTGTTACACACCAGACACTGTTCCGGCATTGCAGGAACAGCACTGGATAAAATAAAGTTGCTTTTCTCCTAGAAATGTGCCGTCCAATAATTTCAGAATGCCACACAGGTAATAAAAAAATGGTAGTAGCCACATCAAAAAAAGTAAAAAGAAAACAGGAAGTTCATTTTCCAATGGTATACGTAGTGCGATAGGTCTCAAGCCCTGTTGCAGCCCTGACCGGTGAGGCTCCGTGGGCTGGGCGCCGTTCCACGAGGTGAAAGGCTGCCTGCTGGCTTCTCGGTCAGGGCACGTGCCTGGGTTGCGGGTTCGCGTAGGAGAGGCAACCGATCCATGTTTCTCTCCCTCTCTCTCCCTCCCGTCCCCTTTCTCTAAGAATAAATAAATAAAATTCTTTACAAAGTAAAATAAAATACTGGTTCAACGTGTGAGCAATAACAAATCTCACATCTTTTCAGACTAAGTCTTCAAAGGCTGGTGTGTATTCTACGCTTTAGCATCCACGTGTCGCATGCGACCAGTGGCCCCCGTGTTCATCCTACACATTTGTTTCTCTTTCCCAATTTCATTCTGAACTGAATCAATTCTATTTTTTTTAAGATTGTATTTATTTATTTCAGAGAGGGGAAGGGGAGGAGAAAGAGAGGGAGAGAAACATCAGTGTGTGGTTGCCTCTCACGTGTCCTCCCACTGGGGACCTGGCCCGCAACCCAGGCACGTGCCCTGAGCAGGAATCAAGCCAGTGACCCTTTGGTTCACAGGCCAGTGCTCAGTCCATTGAGCCACACCAGCCAGGGCTTAAACTGAACCAATTCTTATATGTAAATCACAACTATCTGCTTTTAGCCTCAAGATTTAATAAGTTTGGGGTTATAGACTTTTTAAAAAATCTTTTTTTTCTGTTTTAAAAATCGCAGTCAAATACACATAACACCAAATGTGCTGTCTCAACCGGTTTGAGCGCTCGGCTCAGGGGCACCGAGCACTCCCACACTGCGGCCCAGCCCCCACCACGCCCACCCGCAGGACTCTCTTCACTGTGCAGAACTGAAGCTCTGGGCCCGCTGAACGCTAACTCCCACTTCCCCCTCCCCCCAGTTCCTGGCAAGCCCCACTCTACTTTCTGTTTCTGTGAAGCCGACGACTCTCCACACCTCATGTCAGTGGGACCACACGGTGTCTACCTCTCCATGTCTGAGCCCTTCCCCGGGCACCGTGTTGTACCGCGTGTCGGCGTTTCCTTCCCTTTTAACCCGAGCGCAATGCCATTTTACGTACACACCCTGCCACGTCTCTCCATCTGTTCATCACCGATACCTGCCTCCACCCTTTGACCCTTGAGAAAAATGCTGTTATGGAATTGGGTCCTAGTATCTCTTTGAAAACACAGGTATTATCAATCCTCTTTTTCCAGGGAGGTCGTCTGAGATGCTCATCAGCGATGTTAAGAAATTTCTTGTGGCTCATCAAACAGTAAGTGGGAGAACCAGCCTGTGCGACTCCAAAGACCAGGTTCCTAAGCATTGTATAACCCTGCCTCTAAAAATCAGGGCTTTAACATAAAAAATAGCTGAGTTCAAATCCCAGTCAGTGCCAAACCACAAACTGTGACAGTGGGCAAGTGTCTGAACCTCTGTGAGCTGTGGGGCTGTTGTAAGCATCAAGTGACACAATGTGCTTAATTGTGGTGCCTGGCGCATAGTAGGTGAGTAACAAATATTGGCTTTTGTCGTCATTATAATAACTGGTAGCAAGAATGGAGGAAAGCTAACCCAAGAACCCAGACCCTCCGACTCCTGGGCTAGAACCTGGCAGGGAGGCTGGAAGGCTCCTGGCCAGACGCTGGTTCTTGACAGCCAAGCCGTGAGTTACACCACTGCCGCCTTTGTTTGTTATCTCCCTGCTTGGGACAGGCCAGGTCTGCAGCCTGGACCCGCCACCCACACTTCTACACCAGCCCAGGACAAGGACATCACATGCAAGTACTCGTGTGACAGCGAGCTGTAGAGAACAGAGCACTCTGGGAGTCAAGAGGAGTGAGTCCTGATCCCGTGTCATCACTGAACTTCCCTTCTCCCCTGGGCCTCGGTTTCCTCACCTGCAGATCAAGGGCTTCACAGGCGGTGATTACCAAGGTCTGTGTGTTTGGGAAACTTCTAAGCTATGACCTCAGTGTAATCAGTGTATAATCTTTAGGAAAAACTCTCCACTTCCGCTCCTGGCATTATCAACTCTCATTCGCCACCTGATTTGAAGACAAGTGGCAAAGAGTTTGGATAACCCACAACTTGACTTTATTACTGTCTCTTCTCTTGATGTCATGTCCTAGCTGATCCAAGCAAATTATTTCACATTATAAATAGGCAATGGGAGGAAGTGGCCAGACTGCCTGGGTCTGAACCCTGGCTCCGGCAGTGACTAGCCGTATAAGAGATTACTTAGCCCCCTAAGCCTCACGTAACTCATCTACAAAATTGGAGTAATAATAGCACATATTCCAAAGGTTTGTCATGACGTTTAAAAAATAATCCACACAAAACTTTCAACACTATGCCTATTCAAAGGTATTAGTGTAAGGGAGTGAGATCGCAAGCCAAACAGGAAATGCTGCTGGCCAAGAGGCACCATTCGGTTCTGATCTCCACACTCCGAATTCACCTTTCACCAGCAGCCATACCTGCTTCTTCTGGAGCTCAGCCTGCAGGTCTGAGTTCTGCTTCTGGAGGCTGACACAGCTGTCCTTCAGCTCCTGGTTTTCTTTGCGAAGCTCATTGTTGTGCTGCTCAATCTCTTCCACCTCGCCCTGCGAAAGAGCATTTCATAAACTCCGATTTGACCCTTTATAGCTCAGGGGGTGTTCGAATCCGTCTAGTAGAAAGTTCCCATAGTCTGGGATAGTGAGGGTCTGGCCCCACTCACTGTAGTGGCACCTGTAGACACCAAATGGGAGCAGCCTCCCAGTATGTAAGGAAGATAGTACTGGAGATACATCTGTATGAACTGCGGCTCTGACTCTGCCGTTACGGAGAAGAAAGATAAACCAAATTCAGGCCATGGAAAGTGAAAGGGGGAATGACAGAAGAATGCAGATTCTTCTTGCAAACATTCAGTACTGCTTGTTTCTCTTGTGGACTTAGCTCCCTGAGGCCGAGGGACAGTGTTTTAATTAATTCTTCACTGCATCCCTGGTGCCCGCCATTGTGCTGGATGGCAAGTAGGTACCCTGTCAAGTAACAAAGTAAGTAAGTGAGTCCAATACTCATGCATGACAGGCTCTGTGTCAGAACTGACACAGAATATTTGGTGTGTCTCTCCTCAAAGGAGCTTCTCAATTAACTGTGGGGATGAGATGTGGCGATGACAAAAATTACAGAAATAACCGAATGCCACTAAGTCACAGCAGTTTTAAGAGAGACAGAAACCACCTGTGATGATCCTCGTTCATGTTCCTTAAGTCATTCTGGAGTGGGTTTGAGGGAGTATTGTGTAAATTCTTCTCAACGGCATCTGCTAGAAATTCAGTAAAGGCTTTTTGACCCAAATTCTCCCTTCCTCTGGCATCGTTACTCTTACTGGCAGGAAGGGAGGGAGGTGAGATGCTCACAGACCTGAGTGGTGACAACCAGGATGTCCTCCTCATTTTCTGGACGGAACTGGAAAGGGATACTTGCTCCCCGGACCACGCCATCCTGATCCACATAGCAGAACTGGTAGTACTCATCATCCTTGGGCAGGTAATAGGCTGAAAATACAATCAGATTTGTAATCCAAAATAAGGTCTAGTCAGAACACTAAAAACCTGGAAGTCTTTTATCTGCTCCAGGAAGCCCAAGCTCAAGGAAATAAATTAGTCTTGGTGGCTCACTGTCTCCAGCACCTTTGATCCAGCCGGTACTTTTCTTACCTTTGAACTGGACTTCCTGCTGTTTGGTCGATTTGCTGTTCAGGTCCATGGGCAAAGTAACCCACATGAAGGTATAATACTCACGGGTTGTCTTCCATCCCACCTGCAACAACAAGAGGCTCTCATTCAGCATCTGAAAATGCTCAGGGACAAAAATCCTTATTTGGGCCTGGCTGGTGTGGCTCAGTGGTTGAGTGCTGGCCTGCGAATGAAAGGGTTGCTGGTTCGATTCCTAGTCAGGGCACATGCCTGGGTTGCAGGCCAGGTCCCCAGTTGGGGGGCATGAGAGGCAATCACACACTGATGTTTCTTTCCCTCTTTTTCTCTCTCTCTTCTCTTCTCTAAAAAAATAAACAAATAAAATCTTTTAAAAAATCCTTATTTGGGCCATGTCTTCTCAAAATGCTCTTACTTTTTATTCATGTTGAAAAGACAGTGGAATGAGTTTATTATGATGAGATCCACCCACCATGGATCAGATCTTATTTTTTGACTTATGACAATCATCTATGGCGAAAGGTTTGATACAAGAAAAATTGGCACACGCACGGCATCCAAAATACCTGTCTTGGAAGGAAATGAAAACTGGCCACTCAGCATCCAGGACAAGCTCCAAAAATTTTATCTCCAGGCCAGACACATAACTGAGAGTGGTTGAGGAAAAAATTCCAGAATTGTGATCCCTGATCCCGTAATCCTCTTACCATGGTTTGGGGACTTCTTATCCAGAAAGCACTTTGGATTTGCTCTCTCCACGGCTCTGCCCTCTCCTGTGTCTAATTCAGACTGGTCACTTCTACCACCCTGGTTACATTAGTGCATTTTTTTAAAATGCATTTTTTGAATAATGTGAGTGTTGGGGGTGGAGGGGTAAGAGGCCTCTTAGATTATGAAGCACCAGGTAACTGAGTCCAGTCCATAGAGTTTTCTTTTCTTCAGTGTTTTTCTAAGGCATGTTTCATGAAGGCTTTTTGGTGCTACAAAGAATGACAACAATATGTAATCATAAAGGCTTTTTCTAGGTGGTGAATGCACTGAAGTCATAAAATATAAAGACACAGTAAAATATGCCTCCGAGCAGACAGCTGGCTAAGTGGAAAACATCCTCACTAAATGTGAAGAGGAGTAAAAGATAGTTCACGTCGGATCTGAAAGGTAAGAGCACACCAGAGAATAGAAAGGGAGCCGTCGTGTCTTCAAGGGGAGAAACTTGGCAAATGAGGAGCAAAATTACATTTATTGCCATATTTTGACCCTGCCTGAGCCCAGTGGGAAGAAAAAAAACTAAGAATAAATTCCATTTTTATACATTACGGAATTAGAGTAGGGTTGAGAAGGCTACACTGAAAGCTCATCGGAACGTACGAGGGCATGTTTTAGTGCCTCATTAACACACACCCCATCGCTGTAAGCATCTCAGAGCCACTGCAGCGCGTGGTGGTGCAGGAAGCAGGAGTTTTATGGCGTCTTCATTCACATCCTGGAGTTTCTTAATGCACTGTGACCAAAATATCATCTGGAGAGGCCTAAGAATTACTGCTGCCTAGGAGCAGGGAACAACTTTTAGCCACCTGTGATTTCTGTCCCCTTGACTCCTCCACCTGAGCGGTCCTAGTCCCAGCCTGCCTCTCATGCCATGGGATCTCCCCTCTGCAGCCTTGGAAACATCTGCACGCCCAGGTGAAGGGGAGCATGGAGCACAGTACTATGTACACTGAAGGAAGGAGAGCCGACCCCCACCCACCCTGGGCTCGATCATTGGTGGTGGCTTTTGCTATAGCGAGAAGATGGAGCATACTGCACATTCAAAAATATTTCATGAGCCCTGGCTGGTGTAGCTCGGTGGATTGAGCACGGGCCTGCGAACCAAACAACCGAGGTTCGATTCCCAGTCAGGGCACATGCCTGGGTTGCAGGCCAGTTCCCAGCAGGGGATGCATGAGAAACAACCATACATTGATATTAAAATTTTTTTAAAAAATTTCATGAGTGCCTCCTTGGTGCCAGAAACTACCAGTGTTAGGGCTGATGTGGAATTGAGGAGAATGATTAAAAACACACTGGCCCTGGCTGGTGTGGCTCAGTTGGTTGGAGCATTGTCCCATAACTGAGGAGTTGTGGGTTTGATTCCTGTTCAGGGCATGTGCCTAGGTTGCAGGTTTGATCCCTGGTCCGAGTGCACACAGGAGGCAACCAATAGATGCTTCTCTCTTGAATCCACGTTTCTCTCTCTCCCTTCCTCTCTCTCTAAAAGTAATGAAAAAATGTCCCTGGGTGAGGATTTAAAAAAAACACACACACTGAAAAATCACTGGGGAAGCTGTAGAAGTGACAAAACTTCACAGTCAACTTCTAGTCCTAATTTATCAACTGTTGTTCAAAGGACTTCAGCAGAACAGAGGAGAAGCAGAGGTTTAAATGTCGAACAAGCGTGCTTTACCCAGTACCCCTGGGAGACCTCTGGAAAGTCACCCCCTGAGCAGATTCATTGTACTCAGCTGTGTGCAAGAGGCGATACTACCTGCCTCAGGAGGTTGCTGTGCGGGTTAAATGAACATGCACACACACGCGACCTCATCAAAGACCTATCGTATTGCATAGTCTCAAAAAGTGTCAATCCCTTCTCTATTAGTCTTGAAACTTTTAGGCTTCAGGGTAGGTGTTCAAATCAGTAGCTTTGTGGACAATAAACATTAGAGGCCATTCTTTGGATTAGCCACTTCTTCACTGAGGTATGGCAATACCTCAGAAATGTAGATGCATTTTTAAATGTTTTTAAACATTTGTTTTTAATAAGCTTGACTCTTATTTGGCCTAGGGGCAAGACCTCACTGGAAGTTGCTAAGTGCAGTCTCAGCTAAATGGAAGCATAACAAAAAATGTTACAGATTCAGTACAAACTCTAATACGTACTCTTTTGAATTCTCTTTTTTGGCAATCTACACTTGCCCCGTCCAATATGTTAGCCACTAGCCACATGAGGCTATTTAATTTTAAATTGACTAAAGTTAAGTTAAATTTATAAGCCAGTTGCTCAGCCACACCAGCCACATTGTCAGTGCTCAGTAGCCACATGTGGCTGGAGGTTACAGCGCTGGACATGGAAGGCACAGCTCCATGGCAGTAGGTCCCGCTGCACAGCTTTGCCACCGTGTGCTTCAGAAAACGGGACACACCCTGGTAGGCGGCCGGGGTTCCGTGTCGGAGCATCTTTCAGTCCAACGATTCCACATCCTGCCGTCTCGGAGCTGTTGTGAGCCTGCCACTGCCCCTCGGGCTGCCTACCCTATCTCTAAATACCCCCCGCCAAGGCTCCATCAATTAGCTTGGAATTTCAAACAATTAAGAAAAAGCCACTTAATGAGGGATGTAAATAAGCACCGGCTCATGCACAGCGCAGGAGGAATGATGTCCAACTGCAGGATGAGCAGCACGGGCAAACTCGCACCGACATACCGAGCTGTCAGAACAAAGGTCACGGACGTTGGAACTCTACAGTGCAAATTGCTTAAGTTTGACCTTTATTTCCTGTCTCTGGAAATAGGAAGATTTGTCATTATGGGGTGTGTGTGACAGGCAGAGAAAGACACAGATGAGGGCAAAAACCGACTAAGCTGCCTACCATAAAAAAGTACCTTTTCCGTACTTGAACTGACAGGGGGATTGGCCACCAAAGAGGCCACTGAGGGAAATCATCAATGCTGTCACTGGGAATCTTTACGAAGCAGTAAGACACACTTACTCACCATCCTTCTTGGAGGAAGGATGTTGGACCAGGTAACTTCTCAACATCCTTTCCAGATTTGTAATACTCATATTAAAACAAATTAAACACAAATAATGTAAGGGAACAATCATCCCAGTCAAGCCACAGATAGACATTTCAAAACAGGATACTTTTGCCCTGGCTGGTGTGGCTTAGTAGGTTGAGTGCTGGCTTCCGAACCATGGGGTCACTGGTTCCACTCCCAGTCAGGGCACATGTCTGGGTTTTGGGCCAGGCCCCCAGTGGGGGGTGGGCAAGAGGCAGCCACACACTGATGTTTCTCTCCCTCTCTTTCTCCTTCCCTTCCCCTCTCTTTAAAAATAAAAATAAAGAAAAAAAAAGGATACTTTAAAAAAATTTACACTTGGTCTTTGCAAACATAATGAAAGTTGGGGATTGTATGATTTGCCACCTCATTTTCGCTTGCCTCCCACAGACATGTTGGCACGTGAAGGGGGAGGTGCTAGGGAGTTTAGTTCGGGATTTTAAAGTCGGCCGATGTAATATGCAAAATGCTCATTGCACAAGGCAATGAAGACTCACTTCTGTTCCTAGTCACTTGGTATTAAGTTAACTACTCACTCTAAAGATTCCAATCCAGTCCTTCCGACGGGGGACGAAATGCTGGGTGAGGGTGTAATAGCATGTGACGTCCCCTCCAGGCACATAGAACTTCTCCACGCTGTTGAAGATGACCTGAGAGAAATGACAGTGATCCAGCAAGACAGCGGATGTGGGGGGGTCTTCTAGCGTCTCCTCCATGGTGGGGTCCTGTGGAGGAGGCATGGGGTCAAATAAGGCTCAGAAAGGGTTCTCTGAAATGGTGGAGATTTCTGGGCTCTCACTCAGGGAACATTCCATTCCAGAGAGAAAAAAAAAAAAAAGAAGGAAGGCCTGACTAGCACTGAGGTCACACAACTTGCTTGTGGTTTCGCTTTGCGCCGTTTATAATGTCCCATGTGATCAGGGTTTTCTGAGACCGTCTTTGACCTCTGCACCACTGGCACCCCCACCCCACACACCCTTCTTTTCTCTGCTCCTGGCTGGTCTGTCCGCCTTCTCCTAAATGCCTTAGGTAAGCGAGGCAGCCTGAAGGAAAGTAGCCTGAGCTGGGAATGGAAATCATGGAAAGGGTCCAGTCCTGAAATCAGCACTCGCGACGGAGGAGACACTTCACACAAAACGGAGACGTGTGGAATGACAGAAAGAAGTGATTGGCACAGAGTCTGCACAGAGAACGGTTTTAACAGCCCTGGCTGCTGTGGCTCAGTGGATTGAACACCTGTCTGCAAACCTAAGGGTCCCTGGTTTGATTCCCAGTCAGGGCACACACCTGGGTTGCAGGCCAGGCCCCCAGTGGGGGGCATGCAAGAGGCAACCACACACTGATGTTTCTGTCCTTCTCTTTCTCCTTCCCTTCCCCTCTGTCTAAAAATAAATAAATAAAAACTTTAAAAAAAGGTTTTATACAGATGTTAGTGATTATTACTATTTTTATGGGTTTTTTTTTCCTTTTGGCCCAGTCTCTGCCCTCAAATAGGGTTCCGACCCTACAGAGAAGTCAGATACGTAAACAAGGGACAGGCAAATGGATAGTGTAAGTGCAAAACGTCTTAGATTCAAAAGAGGGAGAGATGTGACTGATTAGGAAAATAAAGAAAAGCTTCGGGGAGTGAGTAGAATCCTAGATAATCCCCTAAGGAAGATTAAGATTTTGACAAGTGGGTTTGGGGGAGGGAATACCAGGAATGAAACAGCAGGCAAAAAACCAAAGAAACAAAAAGCGCAGCCCAGGTTCGGAGGACAGCAAGCAAGTTTGGATCCCTATCTGTAAAACGGGGACAGTGAACTCTCTAGGTCATGGTCCGGATCAAACGCGATCGAGGATGGGAAATGATTTGGAAGGTACAAACAATGCAGAAAAGAAGCAAAGTCTTTAGAGTTGTTCAGACCTGACACTTGCTGCCTTGTAAAGGCCCTGTCTTCCAAATGCCTCCCTGGTCTAGTAGGTACTGAGTTCATGATCTCAACCCAGAATTTTCCTGGGAAATGAAAACAGTACTGCAGCTGTTTACACAGCAGAAGGAGGAGGAGCTGTCTGCATGCAAACACTGTGGGATACCTTACAAATCCAGCCGTTGGAAGGTGTTGGAAGATTGTAAGCACACATACCCACAATGTAAAATAAGCACCATTAAAAAAAACCAAACCATGCACGCAGTAGCTCTTTCAGCCCTGCCCCACCCTACTTATTTCCTGGTTTTATTTTGAACTCTAAGCAACCAAGCCTCTTCTTCCAACTCCACACAGATCAGTTTTTTTCACAGAGAAAGGGACTTTGAGGCATTAAACTATCTATTCTTGGGATTGAATTTGTAACAAAAAAAAAAAATGTATTGGCTTTCTGGTTTGTGACACAGTTTAACCACATCCTCGACCTCAAACCTCAGATCAGTTTTGCTAGGGAAGAGAGAGATCGCGTTACAGCCTGGGCCAGGGCTTGCTCCGCCCGCGACAAGCTGCTGCCTGTGTGAGCTCTGAGATGTTTGGGGGGTGGGGTGGGGAATTTCCCAGCCTGCAGACCCCTACCTTCCTGGCGGTCTCCAGTCATACTGAGGCCAGCATTCCCTCTGTCCTGAGCCTGGACAGAGCATGTTAAATGCTAAGCAAGCATGTAAATCCAAGCATGTAAAATGACTTCATCTGTCCTTTGGCTATGGATCTGAAGAACGCCCAGGTGAGAGGAACTTCAGCACGTGTCTCAGCCTAAGGACCTTGCTCCCTGTTCTCTTCCTTCACAACATAATGCCTCGCCCATATTGATTGCTGACTGTGTATTCATCAAATAAATGAATAAATAAGACACATACATAACTCATCAAAAAAGAAAGGAAGGGGATCTGTAGGCAAACAGTGGTATGAATGGTGGTGGGTCTAACTCTTCTTTTTTTTTTTCAGTTCTGCTCTTAATTTGTTGGATACCCTTGGAGAAGCTGCTGTTTCTCAGCTTTCTCTTTTCCAAAATAGGGTGAGGAGATGATGATCTCCAAGTGCTATATCAACTCTTGGTATGGCTGGTTCAGCTGGCAGAGCTGGTTCCAGTTGGCATGGTGCCAAAAAAACAAAAGGCACAGACTTGATTTCCTCAAGGACTCATAAAATTCACACTCCATCGTCACCCGCCTTCCACACACTCAAACTCAGGCTCGCTGCTCTGCCGATGGACGCGCCTGTGAGAGACAAGAGCAGCCCAGGGCACGGGGGCTCGGGTCAGCCTCTCTCCTTACTAGAAAAACAATCTACCCCTTAGTTCGTGAACAGAAGGACAGTGAAGCAAGGTCAGCCTAAATGTCCACAATGACACGGAGCCCTGACTGTTGTGGCTCAGTGGGTTGGGTGTAGCCCTGCACTGCGAGAGGTCGCAGGTTCAATTCTAGGTCAGGGCACATGCTTGGGTTTCAGGCCAGTCTCGGTTGGGGTGCGTGGGAGAGGCAACCATTCAATGTTTCTCTCACATCAATGTTTCTCCCCCTCTCTCCCTCCCTTCCCCTCTCCCTAAGAATAAATAAATAAATAAATAAATAAATAAATCTTTTAAAAAGGTGACATGGAAGAGCTCAGGCCAAAGCTTGAGTGTATAGCCAATGGACACTTTATCTGTCTTTCTTTTTTTTTAAGATTCTATTTACTTTTTAGAGAGAGGAAGAGAAACATCTATCAGTTGCCTCTCATGCGCCCCCAACTGGGGGCCTTAGGTATGTGCCCTGACTGGGAATTGAACTGATCATCTTTCAGTCCACAGGCCGGCGTCCATCCACTGAGCCACACCAGCCAAAGCCCAGTGGACACTTTATTTCTTTTCTTCCATCTGAAAACCTAATCATCTGTCAGGAAAAGTCAACAGTCTAGATTCCATGCTTATCAAAAATGTAAGAGACTGGGAAAAATGGCTAAATGCACAAAGAAAGTCAGAATCGTCGGTGAACATGGCAGCCATTATGGTGCCTCCCTCGGGAAAATGGTGAAGAAAATTGAGATCAGCCAGCACGCCAAGTACACTTGTTCCTTCTGTGGCAAAACCAAGATGAAGAGGCGAGCCGTGGAGATCAAGCATGTGGTTCTCGCACCAAAACTGTTGGTGGTGGCAGCCGAACCTACCACACCCCTTCCGCTGTCACAGCAAAGTCTGCCATCAGGAGACCGAAGGAACTGAAAGACCAGTAGAAGCGCCACAATTTGAAATATTGCTAGCCAATAATAAATGGGTTAATTTATGTAGCAAAGTTTAAAAAAATGTAAGAGAATCCATGAAATTCTTCATTTCAATGATCTTGTAACTTTCCCAGAAGGACTCCGAGAGAGGGCACTCAATGGCATTCTGGGTAATCGGAACTCACTCATTCTTAAAACAAAAACTCCTCTCTGCCAAGACTGGGAAAGCAGCTGAGGAGGCAGGCGGAGCAGAGCAGAGCCGTGGCTTCCCTCGTCTGCTTCTTTCCCAAGCTGAGCACAGAAAAGGCCATGGGCAAACCTAGAGCGTAACCTTGCCAATCTGAGCTGGGCCAGTGAGGACACCTCACTGCACTTTTCCTGGAGGGAAGGTATCTACTGAGTTTTAAGGTCAGTGATCCTTAAAGCCTTTCTTCTCCCGCAGTGATACAATTCCCTGGGGCAAATGGGCACTTACCTTCCTGACAAAGCAATCTAGAAATGACTTTTCTGTGGAGGAGAATGGGGAAGGTATGGAAGGAAAATTAGAATGATGTAAGCCTCAACTTCTGCTCCTTTAAAAACCACTCTTCCCACTACAGAACCTGTCCACCATCCACTTCTAATTCTGGCACTATCCCCAGAGGCAAGGAAGGGAGAGGAAATACAAGTGCAAAAGTTAATTTTAGAAGCCCACAGAGCTACTGAGTCATGAAAAAGCAGTGGGATGAAGTTGGCGCCCTAGAAATTGTGGAATGGTATTCCACCAATTCTTTACTCCTACCCGCCAGTCAAAGACTGGTCCTATAAGAAGTGAGGGGGGGGGGAACAAACAGGGATTTTTAAGAACAAATCATCAACCACGGGAAAAGAATGCAGATTCCACAAACTGTCACAGGCCTTTTATTTGGACTCTGACATCGTTGTTACTTTTATTTATTTATTTATTTTTGTGGCTCGGTTTCCAAAATGATTAGGGTCCTCAGAGGAGGTGGCAATAATAGGCAATGTATTTCCTATTAAATACAATGTATTTCCTATTGAAATAGGCAGTGTATTTCATTTTAAAATGAGTCCCCTGAACTGCTTCCTGGCTTCTAAGAAAATCTGACACATTTTCAGTGGATGGGCTTTTCAAGCCTAATATACGGCTCCCGGAACCGTTCCATGAATGCACAGATTCTCTTACGTGCTCCTGAAGGAAAGGAACAACAGCCAGTTCTACTTCTGTTCACCCTGCGTGAGTCTGAAGGCTATACTGATGGGCTTTTTAGCAGAAACAGTTTAGAGTTCCTAAAGATTTTTCCTCATGTATGTTGAACCACAAAGAAATAACTTTATTAGAAATAACTAGAATTCTCCCTTAAAGAATGTCTAACTTTTGTCCTGACTGGTGTGGCTTAGTGGATTGAGTGCCAGCCTGTGAATCAAAGGGTCACAGGTCCGATTCCCAAACCAGAGCACGTGCCTGGGTTGCAGGCCAGGTCCCCAGCAGAGAGTGCGGTGCGCAAGAGGCAACCACACATTGATGCTTCTCCCCCTCTTTCTCCTTATCTTCCCCTCTGTCTAAAAATAAATAAATTTTAAAAAGAGTGCCTAACTTTTTAAAAAACATTTTTTAAAGATTTTATTTATTTATCTTTAGAGGGGAAGGGAAGGAGAGAGGAAGAGAAATATCAGTGTATGGTTGCCTCTTGTGCGTTCCCTGCTGGGAACTGGCCTGCAACCCAAGCATGTGCCCTGACTGAGAATCCAACCGCAATCCTTTGGTTCGCAGGCCCGCGCTCAATCCACTGAGCTACACCATATGCCAGCCAGGGCTCCAACTTTTTACATTAGCCTTTTATAGCAGTGGGTACATGTTTCAAGAGAAATGAAGACTATAGGTAGTTTCTCTGGATTAGTTCACAGAAGAAAACAAAAGGCTTCCACAAATGAGAGCAAACTGCAAATCAATTCTTCATTTGGGAAAAGTGAAAACAAAGACAAATAAAACCCAAACCCACATTAATCTAATTTGTTCATCCTTCTGCTTACTTAACTTTCTACATAACTAGTGATTTGCAGTGGATGAACCACTTTGAGTCCCACTCCCCTCTGGCCCAGGAAGGGAAGCTTCCCCAGCAATGCCCTTAGAGAACACTGGCGATAGATATAATGGATTAGTGGGTGGCCTGAGATAGGGAGAAAAGCAAAGACATGTAGTCACTGGTCCTCAAATCATTAAGCCACTTGCTGTAACTCAAATTTCCCAAGTTCATTATAGTTCCTTACCTAGAATCTTTCAGAGTGCCTTAGAAAAATTGTACAGCCCCAGGAGACTTTCAATAGTTCTCATGGACAGCTCTTTGGATTGGCCGCCCCGCTTGTTCTAAGCAGGCCCTTGCCCCACATCCCTTGCCACCAGAGCCGGCAGTACTAGGGAAGAACGGAAAAATAGTCCTGGGGCATGCAGTCCAGGCAACCGGAAACTGAAAGGCTCAATGCTGTGTAATAAATCTCCAGTTTACTAGACGGAGATTTTACACTTTTTTCCCCAAAAGGGGTGACTACGCTAACCTCTGAAGTGACGAGGGGAGTGACCGTGTTTGGAGTGTCGTGGAAATGGGCCTAGGCCAGGACCTGAGGCACCTGGGTTCTTGTCTTAGTTCTGCCACTAGAAAGCTCTGAGATCTTGGCCAAGACACACTACCTCCTTTTAGGTCTCAGTTTCCTCATCAGTAAAATGCACAGATCAGGCTAGAATATCTCTAAGAAACTTCCTAGCTACAGTGATGATCCTAAGTAAAAGGAATTAGAAGAGTTCATTTTGGCCCTGGCTGGTGTAGCTCAGTGGATTGAGCACGGGCCTGCGAACCAGGCAATCGCGGTTCGATTCCCAGTCAGGGCACATGCCTGGGTTGCAGGCTGGTTCCCTGCAGGTCAGTTCCCAGCAGGGGACGCACGAAAGGCAACCATACATTGATGTTTCTCTCCCTCTAACCTTCCCTTCCCCTCTAAAGATAAATAAATAAAATTAAAAAAAAAAAAAAGAAAAGTTCATTTTAACCATCTAAGAAAATAAAGAAGTATGGCATTACATCAACAAGCACTGTCAATTTTTTTAAAAGAGCCTTAAATGTACTATCTGACTTGAAAGATAATACGGCTTCTTAGTGCTATGGAACTCTTACTGACCACCTTTCTCAGCGTCCTTTCCACTCCACAGCTGTCAGATCTGCTGAAGGGTAGAGTTTCAGGTAGAGGCCTTCTGAAAATACCTGTGAAAGGGAGTCCCCTGGATATTCCTTAACCATGTGCTCTACACTATTTACAAAGGCCTATGGCGTAAAAAGTCCTTCACTTTAAGTCATTTTTGCAACAGAGGAGATAAGTTATAATATACAGCAGATCCTCGAATAACGTCCATTGGTTCAGCGTTTAGTTCTAATGTTGATGAGACATTGTAGGAAGTTAACTCTTGTCTCTATCAGTTAGCTTCTGAAAAAACTGGCTTGCCTATACAACGTTTGGCTTAAAGGCATAGAACCTATGACAACGTTAAGTGAGGACTAACTGCATAGCATCTGTATTATTCTACTCAGCCCTAAGCACGGCCACTTGTGGGCTTGCATCAGGAGCAAAGAATCCAAGTGATAGAAAAAGTTAACACGCCCGGGAGAGGTTGACATTACAATGTGAGTGGGAACATTAGCCCCTAAACTAAATTGGCCTGAACGTGGCAGTGGGAGGGGCTATGGGATACCGACTGTAAAGAAACAGGTCACTGCACTCCAGCGGCTCCTTCTTCTCGGATGCCTAGAACCTCCTCCAATTACAGAGGCCCCATCGGAAGGAAAGGGGTTTCAGGGATCGAACCTACTCATATAGACAGGGCAAATGAGGCCCAAAGAGAAAGTAAGTTGCCTAGGGTGACTAGGCAGGGCCCCGCCTCCAAGCAAACGACCAAGTGTCAAGGACAAGGATTAAGGAACCACTGGGACCTCTGCCCGCCGGAGGGGCGTGATGCTGCGTCAAGACCCTCACTCCCGTCAGAGGGATCCCTTCTGCCCAAGAAGTCTCCCACCCGGCTGCAAGTACTGAAGCCCTGCCTTACTCGGGGAGGGGGGCGGGAACTGTCCCTCAGCCCTTCAAGGCCGCAGAAAGAGATCCGGGGGCTCCGACGCCACTCCCACTTACTGTTTCCCTAGAAAGAGGGACGGAACTGGAAACCGAAACCGGTAGCACTTTAGCCGCTCACGGTACTTTCTCAGGACTGGCAGTCCGACTTGGGGAACACGAGGGCCCACCGCCACTAGTTACCCTCCTTCACTCCAGGGACTCACCGCGGGCAGCAGCGGGCAGCGGCGCAACAGCAACAGGACAGGACAGGACAGGGCACAGGGGCGGGGCCAAAACCCCAAGTGAGCTCCGTTCTCGCCTCACCCCGCCCACACGTCAGGTTGGTCAGCAAGCCCCGCCCCCACCGCGGTGCTTTCTGGGACTTGTAGTGTTCAGGTGGCTGGGTTCCGTTCCATTTACGGTTTTCCTTAGTCTGGAGCACAATTCTCACCCTAAGAAGCTTATTTCTTCCTCTAAAACAAGCCATTAACTTACCTTAAAACAAACAAACAAACAAACAAGCACGGCGGGGGGAGTGAAGACAACTGTAATAGAATAAGTTTAAAGAAAACCAACCAACTAAACATTATTTCAGATGTGAGTGAGGATTCTCCATATGCTTCAAGTGCCATTCAGAGGTCATCTTCACTTTTCTCCTGCCTCCGCATAACACTTCACTAAGAGACCCACAGACGAGACTCCTTTTGGCATTTAATCATGCCTCCCACCTGCCCAGGAAATCCGACAGTCTCCCTGGGTGCTCCAGATTTTGTGTTTCCTCATTGCCTTTCTATAAAGAAATTACTCTTTAGTATTAACTCTGTCAAAGTAATACTCTTCCCAACCGCGCTAAGAATAAATTCAGCAAGAATCCTGCTAAGTCAGCTTAGAATTCCCCATCCTTGATATCTGAACAATCCCCAGCTGACCTTTAGCAAGAATCCTAAACTGGTTTTGCAAGAATCCCCCCCTACCCTTGGGGTCTCCTATCAGTAATTTTCCACCACTTGTCCTAATTGTATTTGGAGTTGAGCGTGCTCTCTCCCCTATTGTGTGTGATGTTCCTGTTGCGGTAGTCCTGGATAAAGCCTTCTAACCATTTTAACAAATGTCGGAACAGTTATTTCTTAACACTGCTCTCTGTGAAAGGTTAAAGTTACAAGTGTCCCTTCTCCAAGGAGTAGGATCTGTCTGAATCTGTCGTCTAACCACAGAAGTTATGTGCCCCTGACCCACTGTAGGTTTCAGGCAGGAGACTGAGCGTTCCTAATTCTGCCTTCTCACGATACTGGTGGCATTCAACTGAGGCGAATAGATGGTGAGAAATGAGTAAACCAGGGAGAGGGGCTCCCGTTGGAAGTTCAGATCACCTTCTGCTTTACCAGAATAGTGCTCTTCCACTTTAAACTCTCTCTACAGAGATAAGGGCAGTCAGTATCCCAGATAACATTTCCTTTCATTTTCCTTATTAGCTTTTACGAGCACTGAGAGCTGATACTTCCTACACTCACGCAGCTTACTATCTACATTAACACAACTATTTTACAATGCTCTGGACTGGAAGTTTAAAATGCAGATAACTCTATTGTTCATTTTAGAAACTTTCTAAGAGAGCCACCAGCTCTTCAATAGAAAGCATCACATGGCAGTTCCGGACACTCTGAGAACCCTGTGTTCAAAATCCTTGCTTGGCTGTGTCCACCAGTCCTAAACTATGATGTCATGACCTTATCCAACCCTAATCAATTCCTGTCCCGCCACCCTCCTCAATGCTAAACTTTAAAGTCTCAATACCACAACGTTGTCCTGCCACCTCTGAGCCACCACCACGGCTATGCCAAGGTAGTGTTCTTCCTTATCGTGGTACGAAGAAACTCAGTTTTGTCTTATCAACGGATAGTTTTGTTGATATTTGGGAGAGCTAAATTTCATAGCGTAGAATAAAAAAGATTAGTCTGATTTATTTCCAGTGGAAGTGTCAAGAGGAGGTTGTAAGTACAACCCTTTTAAACTGGATGTTAAAGGAACGGGACTTGATATTCAGACCTAGAGAGAAAATGTCCTTCTTCTATCTTCAACTGCTAGGATTGGAGTCAAAGACTGGGGGTGGGGTGGGGGGAGGGGAGTCACTCTGTGCCTGAAACAACGGATTATCTCATTTGATCTTTGTAGGGGAAGCACTTTTGTTATTTATTATTATTTTATTTATTTATTTTTAGAGCGAGGGGAGGGGACGGAGAAAGAGAGGGAGAGAAACATCAATGTAAGAGAGAAACATTGATCGGTTGCCTCTCACATGCCCACAGTGGGGGACCTGGCCCGCAACCCAGGCGTGTGCCCTACGGGGAATCAAACCAGCGACCTTTCAATTTGTGGGATGATGTCCAACCAACTGGCCAGGGCAGGAAAGCACTTTTATTATCTCCATTTGACAAATGAGGAAACTGAGGCTTAGAAACATAAGGTTACTTGTTCAAGCTCACACAGCTAGTAAGTTCCATCAGAAGGCTGTGAGCCCTGTATTCAGACTCCAGTGACTGCACATTCTTTATTGCTGCACTCACTGTACTTTTCATGAGAGTTCAACAATCCGTAAAAAAGACAAACGCATAAATGAGCATAATGTCACACGATACTGGCTTTAGGAGAGGAATTCACATAGTGCAAAGAGAGGACAGAATTAATTTTTCCTAGGGGCAAGGAGGAAGGTTTCATAAAAAGAGGTATGAATAGAAAAAATTATTCTGAAGCCTATTAAAATAGAAAGAAAACCTTTATTCGGGACTATATAATAGGAACATTACAATAGGAGAGAGAGAGATTGTGCTCAACTCAGATACAGTAAGGGCAAACTGGGACTTACAGCCATCAAGCCAAGTAAAAGGGTCAGTGGATGAACTATTACTAAGAAGGTAGGGTGGATTTTTGCTAAACTGACTTAATAGGATTTAAAATTTTTTTATTTATTTCTTTTTAGAGAGAGGGGAAGGGAGGGAGAGAGGGGGGGAGTGAAACATCAATGTGTGGTTGCCATACTCCCTACTGCGGAAATGGCCTGCAACCCACGCATGTGCCCTGACTGGGAATCAAAGCCGAGACGCTTTGGTTTGCAGTCCCATGCTCAATCTGCTGAGCCACATCAGCCAGGGCCTTGGCTTAATAGGACTCTTGCTGAAGGCAGGCTAGGGGTTGATCATACGTCAAGGGGAGAGGGTTCTCTCTAAACTAACATAAAGTCTTACTAACATAAGACTTTTCGTAAAATTGGACTTAGGAAGAACAGACGCGGATGCCCAGAGTTGAGGCCTAGATGAGAAAAGGGCTCAGAGGAACCTAACTAAAGTTTGACAGCGACTAAAGACAGAGTCACTGTCAGAGGTGACATATGATTTATTTGAATAACAAGCAATAAGCGTGGCAAGCAGAAAAAGGATGGGAGAGAAATCTGAGATGGGCGGAGGGAGTGCTCACCTATCGCAGGGCTCTCAGGTAGAATTCACTGCAATGATGGACATGTTCAATACCTGCACTAGCAGATCCAGTAAACACTAACACCTGTGGAAATGTGGTTTTGCAACTGGGAACTGGGTGTTTATATGTTATTGCTGTCCTGGCTTGGGCAGACCTACAGCGTCTGGGTAACTGGGGTGTGGACTCGGGGAAGGAGATGCGGGAGGCAGCCTGGGAGAAGGGCCCCAAGCAGCAGCTGCTACTCTCACCTTTGCCCTGAGCCCCAGTGCTGCCCAGCAGCAGTGACTCTGGCCTGTGGCCTCTCAGCTCCACTGAAGAAGAAAATGAGAGAAATTTGCTCTCTGAAGCTGGCTGTCTCTGTAACCACCCAGACTCTGCAGTTTTATCACTTACGAAGTCCAGATGGTTTCCATGTCCAGGTTGGACAAAGAGGAAGATTGGACAAGCAATGGGAAGGAGACTACCAATCAGCTGGAGATACCACCTGTTCTCAGGTCATGTATGATGTTTATAAACTGCCGGAGATACAGGGGTCGGGGTGCCTCACGCAATCACATTTCTGAAATGCACTGGCAAACACGGTCGCCGAGGAAACACTCTACAGAGTCTTAATATTCTTTAAAAAAAGATTTTATTTATTTATTTTTAGAGAGAGGGGAAGGAACAGAGAGCAATATCAACGTGCAAGAGAAACATTCGTACAGCTGCCAACCATGTGCCCCCAGTGGGGGTGAGGGGCCTGGCCCACGACCCAGGCAGGAGCCCTGACAGGGAATCAAACTGGTGACCTTTCCGTGTGTGGTTGGCAGTATGACACCCAAACCACTGAGCCACACCAGCCAGGGCAGGAATCTTAATATGTAAAGATGTTTGCAATGGTCCCTTTAAAGACTTAGGATGGATATCTTTGTTTTTAAAGATTACATTAAACAAACAAACGAGATCCCCCAAACATCTCACCCATGTTTTTAAGACTGTTGCTGAAGAGAAAAATTTATCTGTTGAACACTCTTCCTTAAATTAGCTGATTCACAATCAGTTCCATGGGAATTACTTTGCAACTCTGTAAACTGTACCTAATCGCTAGACAACCAACTATTTTTCTCTGGGGTGATAGAGGTTTGATTGTTACCCTCTTTTCTTTAAGGAAGAAACCAATTTTGCCTCCATTTGCAATTCTCATTCAGCTGCTTGTTTTGAAGTAGCTGAAACTTCTATCGAATTCCTTCATTGAATCACTTAAGTCTCTAACACATGCTCATTGTTGTATCTGTATGAGTCATGGGTTTACCTTTTTAAAAGATTCTCTTAACATTTATTTCATTTTTTAAAAGATTTTATTTATTTATTTATAGACAGAGAGGAAGAGAAGAAGAAAGAGAGGCAGAGAAATAATGTGTAGTCACCTCTCGTGTGCCTCCTACTGGGGACTTGGCTGGCAACCCAGGCATGTGCCCTGACTGGGAATTGAGCCCCTGACCCTTTGGTTCGCAGGCCAGCACTCAGTCCGCTGAACCATACCAGCCAGGGCCTGTGTCCTCTCTACGGAACTTGTTTCCAAGAGCCTGATCCACACTCAGAAACGGATGCTCTAACCACAACATGAGCAGCACCGTTCAGGGAAAGCTCTTTTCCCCAGCAGGTAAAGGGAAGGTGAAAAAGGACAAGATGAAAACGGAAGCCTGGGAGCTCCCTTGCTAGTGGCCCAGCAGCCCTGTTCTCGGGGGGGGGGGGGGGGGGGGGCGGG